CTTTCCTCCCTTTCCCCTGTTTCTCTGTTGAGGGACCAAGGTCTAGCCCTAAGTTTTCCAGGGATGGAATCTAGGCTGTAGAGCTGTCAGTCACCAGTAGGTGGAGCTCCTTCTCCACGTGCCCGAACCACTCTGTTTCTCAGTTCATCTCTATGGTTTCCGTTGTGGTTTCGGCCGGAACAGGCGGGGCTTCCGCTTCTTAGCTCAGAGATGGCGGCGACAGCGGCGGAGGCTGCTGGTTCGGTTTCTGGAGAGCTCCGGGAGGAGGCCGAAGCCCCAGGCCCGGCCTGGGATGAATCTCAGTTGCGCAGTTATGGTTTCCCGACCCGACCCATCCCACGTCTGAGCCAGAGCGACCCCCGGGCGGAAGAGCTCATCGAGAATGAGGTGGGGGGCGGGGCCCCGCCTAGATCGGGAGGAGGAAGGGACCCGCGGGGAGGCGAGGCCGCTGGACGCGGGCAGCGGCGGGGGGCTCGCCCGGGTGTGGACTAACGGGACCTCGGGTGGGGGGCAGACCTGGGGAGGGCGGCGGAGCGGTGGCCGGTGAGGAGCTCGCGCTGCTTGAAGGCAGAAGTGCTTCTGAAGTTGTGAGTCAGGGAAGCGAACCCACCTACTTCTTGGAATTCTTGCATTTCCTTCTTTTCACTTGGTGTCTTTGGCTTAGGAGCCTGTGGTGCTCACTGACACAAATCTTGTGTATCCTGCCCTGAAATGGGACCTTGGATATCTGCAAGAGAATATTGGCAATGGAGACTTCTCTGTGTACAGTGCCAGCACATATAAGTTCTTATACTATGATGAGAAGAAGATGGCTAACTTCCAGAACTTTAAGCCGAAGTCCAACCGACAGGAAATGAAATTTCATGAGTTCGTTGAGAAACTGCAGGATATACAGCAGCGTGGAGGAGAAGACCGGTAAGTTAGCCGACTTTGGTTTTACCAGTGGATTTATGACATCCATGTTTCTTTCCTGTGCTTGTGTGAAGGTGTGGCAGAGTTAGGTGAGTAAAGATTGGAATCTCTGGCTTTATACTAAGGGGTATTCTTCCCTTCTACCTTGTACTTGGTGGTTTGGGGTGGGCAGCAAACCAGTCGACTTTCTAGCTTGAAGGATATGAAAACCATTAGACTGAGCTGTGGATCTCTAGTGTCTCTCTTTCCTCAAAATGATTGAGAGTCAAACCTGGCTTGAGAGGTCAGTCAGATGATTGAAATTAACAAACATATGTGGGTGGAAACTAAGGAAACTGAAGGGAAATCTTTTCTTCAAAGTGAGGAATAATTATTTTGTTTATAGGACAAGTCTTAGAATTGCTAGATGTTCTGTTTGTTTTTTTTCAAAAAAGCTCAAAATGAGGATTCTTATTTACAGTCTTTGGACTTTTAAGTGTGGGCACCTATTCAGCTTTTAAAAAATTTTAAGCAGGAGGCTAAACAAAGTTATTTCTCATTAGATTTATCCCTAAAACAGTTTGCAGGTCTTATAAGATATTGTGCTAATTATTTCTCATTAGATTTATCTTTAAAATAATCAGTTTGCAGGTCTTATAAGATATTGTGCTAATTGGAGACTGTTCATGCTGAAAAGTTATGTGGTTTGTTGTGATTTGGGGCTAAAGGATAGCAAGATCCACTAGAGATGAAAAAGATTGGACGTATACTTAAGGGGTTAGAGCACATGGCTAGCAAGCACTTGATTTGAGTTTAAACAGAGTACTATCGATAATAATGATTATTATTATAATAACAACATTGCCTTAACCATTACAATTTTAGGTTAAGTATTTTTCTTAGAACCAAGACAGGGCTGCTTCTGTCTCTTCTTCAACTCTGCCCACTGTGAACATCTCTGGTAGAGTTTTCATATTCGTTGAGTAACACATGACCTTCCTCAGATATGTAAGGAGCCTGGGTGTGCACCTGATAAGGCTGTAGAAAGCTGCTTTGGATAGCTGGTTAAACCAGTTAAGATAAACTAGACTTCAAGTTAGATTGAGCTGGAGACAAGAAAGGTTCTTTTCTCACTTTTATACATGTTCAGTATAGGTAAAGTCATCTTGTTCTTACATCATCTTGTTGATTCCTGAGGTCCAAATTGGCCCAGAAACATCTCTATCTGGACCTTGGCAATTGCTGTGACAGAAGGAAAGATGGGATAGTTTGTACTGTCTCCTAAAATTACAGCTGGACACAACACAAGTCAATTCTGTGAACACTTCATTGGTCAGAAAGTTAAAAAAGCCAATCTAAGTGGGCACAGAAAAGTGCCTTTTCTATTGAGAGGGACAACCTCCTGGTAAACAGGAGTGCAGTCTGCCACAATGGCCATCAAAGGCCAAAGAAGATGTCAGGCCTTAAGAGCCTCTGGAACAAATGGCTTTGTGGATAAGCTTCTAGGAAACCATAGAATCACACATATGTATATCTTTGTGGAGAACCTTGGTTTGTTTGTTTACACTAGTACTGGAGCTTGAAATTAAGGATTTGTGCTCTTAGCTTTTTGCTCAAGGTCGGTGCTCTACTATTTCAGCTACAGCTCCACATCTGGCTTTTTGCTAGTTATGTGGAGGTAAGAGTCTCTCAAGGGGCTGGGAAGGTGGTTCAGTGGCAGAGTGCTTGCCTTGCATGCATGAGGCCCTGGGTTCGATTCCTCAATACCACATAAGCAAAAAGAAAAAAGCCGGAAGTGGCATTGTGGCTCAAGTGGTAGAGCGCTAGCCTTGAGCTGAAGAGCTGAGGGACAGCGCCCAGGCCCAGAGTTCAGGCCTCACGACCGGACCCAAAAAAAGAAAGAAAGAAGAGTCTCTCAAATTTGCCTGGGCTGGCTTCAAATCACAGTTCGCAGATCTCAGCTTCCTGAGTGAGTAGTTAGGATTACAGATATGAACCACTGGTACCAACTGAGCCCTGAGTTTTTAAAAGGAAAAAAGACTTAAAATTATGTTTTTTTTTAGAAACCTGGTGTTCAGAGAATGCATGATAAGAATTCATTTTTGTGAGAATCCACATCGGCCAAGATTTTCATGACTGTAACTGCTTGAGATGCTGGTGGTTTATATTTTCAGATGTGGGGAGGTCCTGTTGGGGACTTGTGTGCACATGCTGATGGAATTTTTTTCTTGGGGAACATAGGTTGTATCTCCAGCAAACTCTGAATGACACTGTGGGTAGGAAGATTGTCATGGACTTCTTGGGTTTTAACTGGAACTGGATTAATAAACAACAGGTAAAGCGTGGCTGGGGGCAGCTGACCTCTAACCTGCTGCTCATTGGCATGGAAGGTAAGAAATATCTTAGAAAGTAGTTTGGCTTGAAGTCATTCAAATCTGATTTCTAATTCTGTCTCTATCACTTATTAGTTCTATGTCATATTAGAAGTCACTGAACTTGTTTTAAGCCTCAGCTTTTTCATCTGCAAAGGAAATATCATAAGATCTTATAAACAGCTATGGTGATTAAATGAGATAGTGTGTTAAGCCTTTAACCTAGTTTCATGCCCTCTTAAAAATAAGTTCCTGGGCTGGGAAGGTGGCTCAGTGGTAGAGTGCTTGCCTTGCATGCATGAGGTGCTGGATTGGGTTCCACAGCACCACATAAGCAGAAAAAGCTGGAAGTGCTGCTGTGGTTCAAGTGGTAGAGTGCTAGCCTTGAGCTGAAGAGCCCAGGGACAGTGCCTAGGCCCAGAGTTCAGGCCCCACGACCGACCAAAAAAAAAAAAAGTTTGCTTTTCTCTTTCTTAGCTGTTCTTTGGGTGCATATGCTGAGATACTGTAATGTCTGAAATGCTGCTGCTATCTATTGGCTCTCTCTGGTTTTATCCTAGCAAAAAGGGAAATAACCTTTTTCCAATGTAGATTCAACTTTATCTTTTAAATGTTTATGGAGATGAAAATTCAGAAATAATAAATAAGTTTGTAAGTCTTTCTTCTACCTCTCTCTCCCACCTTCTCATTTTCTTTCCCTGGAGGTCCTATTGTGTTAGTTGCACACATAAGCAGATTTGTGGATGTTTTCTGTTTTTCTCTTGAAGAACATATGTTTAGACTCCATTTGGGGAAGGAGCACTATATTTGGGGCAGGCTCATTGTCTCTTTCTCTTTTTTTTCTTTTTTAGATGTGTGTATGTGATTCTGGGAATTGAGCTCAGGGCCTCCGACTTGCTAGGCAAGTGCTATACCGCTTGAGCCATGCCTCAGTCCTTATAGTCTCACTTGTATTTCCACCAGTAAAGGCCCTCAATAGATACTTAGTGAATGATGAATACATTTTTTGTTGTTGTTTTTTGTTTTGTTTTGTCAGTCGTGAGGCTTAAACTCTGGTCCTGGGCACTGTCCCTCAGCTTTTCAGCTCAAAGGCAAGTGCTCTACCACTTGAGCCACAACACCATTTCCAGTTTTCTGGTGCTTCATTGGAGATAAGAGTTTCACGGACTTTCCTACCTGGGCTGGCTTTGAACCCTAATCCTCAGATCTCAGCCTCCTGAGAAGCTAGGATTATAGGCCTGAGCTACTGACACCCAGCTTTTTGTTTGTTTCTTTTTTTTTAAAATATTTTTTATTGAGATTAAGTGATTACATAAATTTCACAATATTGTAGGATAGTGATTCTTTCTTTTCTTTTCTTTTTTTTTTTTCTGGTCCTTGGGCTTGAACTCAGAGCTGGAGTACTGTCCCTAAGCCTCTTTGTGCTCAAGGCTAGCACTCTTATTACTTGAGCCACAGTGCCACTTCTGGCTTTTTGTAAGTAGTTTATTGGAGATAAGAGTCTCATGGACTTTTCTGCTCAGGCTGCCTTGGAACAGTGATCCTCAGATCTCAGTCTCCTGAGTTGCTAGGATTTTTTAAAACAAAGAATCAGTAATTGTTCATTGGCATTAACCTGATTATTGAACTCTGAAAATTCTTAATGGTCTTTGCTTTGGATTTGAAGGTTTCTAGCAGTGCAGCATACAAACTGACACATACGTGCTCCTTTGATGCCACTTCTTAGTTGTTTTGCCAGGGGGCAGTCAGTTCTTCTTCCATGATTCAGAGTTTTTCTGTTGTTTTCTTTTCCTGTGGTAGGTGGGGCACAGGGATTCCTTAGGGAGAAATGAGAGAACAACTGTCCTTTGAGGTCATATCAACTCTCAGCTTTTGAGAAGGCAACTGTCTGGGCATATCTAGGCTAGGCTAGAGAATGTTTTCTAAATGCAAGGATTCTGCAAATGGTACAGAGGTAACTTCAGTTACACCAGGTGATATAATATACCTTATTTCTACATCACTTTCTTCTGTAGTCTGATAAACTTCCCTTCAGTGAAAGTCACAGCTGCATTGAGCCCAAGTGTTGCTGTGGGAGTGTTATATCCCACAAATGTGGTAAAGTGGGAGCTTCAAAAGACCTACCCAAAGCAAGGACATATTTATACAACTTAAATGACTGGTTAACTCCTCAGAGCAGGTCATGTGTGTGTTGTTGGTGAGTCATTTGTTTTTTGTTTTTTTTTTTTTGTCAGTCGTGGGGCTTGAACTCCGGGCCTGGACACTGTCTCTCAGCTCTTCAGCTCAAGGCGAGCACTCTACCACTTGAGCCACAGTGCCACTTAGGGTTTTCTGGTGATTTTTGGAGATAAGAGTCTCAAGGACTTTCTTGCCCCGGGCTGGCTTTGAACTATGATCCTCAGATCTCAGCCTCCTGAGTAGCTAAGATTACAGGCGTGAGCCACTGGTACCTGCCGGTCAGTCATTCCTAACTGTTTTACTTCCCTAGAATTCTTGGCATAGTCAAGAAGAGTGCAAGTATATGCAGTATATTACCCTGTTTGATGTGTGACTATCGTTTTGATGTGCTTTTGCCTTCAGTAAGGGCAGAAGCCATCTTTTAGGAAAGTTTACCTTGCTACCTGATGATGGACTCTTGCCTAGCGATAATTTGCTGGACTTAGTACTCATAAATGTAACATTTAATTTGCTAAAAGTTGTTACTGCAATTTCCATGATTCTGCCTAAAATTTGATTTGGAACCATTAGCTGGTGGGAGTAGACTGGGTTTCTCTCTGGCATTGATTGGGCTCTTTGTTTAACTTGTGTAGTAGAGTTACTTCTCCAGATAAGAAAATGTCTTTCTTTCTACAGGAAATGTGACACCTGCTCACTATGATGAGCAACAGAACTTCTTTGCTCAGATAAAAGGCCATAAACGATGTATCTTATTCCCTCCGGATCAATTTGAGTGCCTCTATCCATACCCTGTCCATCACCCATGTGACAGACAGAGCCAGGTGAGCTTGAGTGGAAGAGGGTGTGGAACTCGAGATTCTAGGAGTGCCTAGAAATCAAAAGCTTTTGTCTTTCCCCTTCCCTATGGTAGTAATGCCAGATTTGGATTAGTGGCTGGTATTGCCTTAGATGAAACCCTACAGGATAATTCCACAGTGTAGCTCACATATTCCAAGCTCTTGTGGTAGTCCCCACATGTTTACAAGTATAAACAGCCCATAGAGCTAATTCTTGGGGGGCAGACTCCATCATTGATGTTGGTGGACTCAGGTTACTCTGATTCCCTTACAAGTTCAAGGAACAAAATGTTCCATTGGATTTAACCATTGTTACATGCTGTTTCTTTTTATATGGAAGTAGGTGAATAAAAGTGAGATATATCACAGTGTAGTTCATGGACCTAAGTGAGGCATATAGTTGACTTGGTGGCTATCCAAAGACACCCCTTCTTTCTTGAGGTGGAAGCTGCATAATTACTTCATACAAGTCTTACTTGGTTAGAATTTTTTTTTGGGGGGGGGCTCCGGTTGTGGGGCCTGAATTCTGGGCTTGGGCGCTGTCCCTCAACTCTTCAGCTCAAGGCTAGCACTCTACCACATGAGCCACAGCGCCACTTCCGGCTTTTTTCTTTTTGCTTATATGGTGCTGAGGAATCGAACCCAGGGCCTCATGCATGCAAGGCAAGCGCTCTACCACTGAGCCACCTTCCCGGCCCCTGGTTAGAATTGTTTAGAGAAAAAAGTTTCTGAGGCTTGGACTATGCATGAATCCTAATTTGGGCCATTGAGGTAGTCATCAGACCTCAGGAGCATTGAAACCTAGGATTCTTTATCACTTGATATTCAAGTATGCACTGCTTTATGTAGATGTAGTTCTTCGAGAAAGAAAGCAGGTTTAATGTGCATTGTGTTCTACTAGACATAAATTCTGAAGACTTCTTTTTGCCAGTCCTGGGCCTTGAACTCAGGTCCTGGACACTGTCTCTGAGCTGCTTTTTGCTCAAGGCTAGCCACAGCACTACTTGGAGCTTTTTTTCTGTGTATGTGGTACTAAGGAATCGAACTCAGAGCTTCATGCATGCTAGGCAAACACTCTACCACCAGGCCATCTTCCCAGCCCCATAAAAACATTTTTTAAAGGCATTTTTTTCAAAGTAACTGGCACATAGTCATTGGTAAAGATTTGGTGATTGACTTTTTTATTGTAAGGGTGATGTACAAAAGGGTTACATTTATATCAGTAAGGTAATGAGTACATTTCTTCTCGAACATTGTTACCCCCTGCTGGTGATTGACTTTTATTTTTTCTTTTTCTTTACTCCAGGTGGACTTTGACAATCCTGACTACGAGAGGTTCCCCAGTTTTCAAAATGTCGTTGGTTATGAAACAGTTGTTGGTCCTGGTGATGTTCTTTACATCCCAATGTACTGGTGAGGATGAAGCTAGGGTTGGGGGCCTCTTGAGAATCTTTCTCATTCCCTGAAAAGCTTTATCTGTGTCCCTTCTGAGTTGTGGCAGGATTGGTCTTAGGCAGTCTATAGGAAGGTTGGCATATCCAGATATGAGCATGCGTACACATGGGGGAGATAATCCTGTCTATAGGGAAAGAGAACAATCTGCCAAATCCAAAGAGACTTATAGCTGGAAAAACTGTTCTTACTTCTTTGCTACTAAGAGACTAGGTTACTGTGTTTTAACAGTATGAGTATGAATATGATATCTTTGCTGTTTCCTTTAACTGGATTTTACTGAGTTTTCCATCTCCTCTGAAATGTAACTAGGAGCCTGTTTGTTCTCTTGCAGGTGGCATCACATAGAGTCATTATTAAATGGAGGGATTACCATCACCGTGAACTTCTGGTATAAGGTGAGTATGTCTGATTGTTTTGCCAGATGGAACTGGGGCTGGGGTGAAGTAGGTCTAATAAGTGGTTTGGGCTGGGTTAGATGGTTGGTCATCCCTAGGGTGGTTCCCAGATTAGGTGAGAAGCAAAGGGATAGAATTGAATTAGTTTCTTACAGGAATAGTATAGAAGCAGTGAGGTGATATTGAGTCTGCTGCTAAGAGCATTTCTTGAGCTGCTGCTTCCTTTATAGGGGGCTCCCACTCCTAAGAGAATTGAATATCCTCTCAAAGCTCATCAGAAAGTGGCTATCATGAGAAACATTGAAAAAATGCTTGGAGAAGCCTTGGGGAATCCACAAGAGGTAAGACAGGGTTGGTGCAATATTCTCCAAGGCTCTTCTTTGTCAGTATCTGATATCCTCTCTTCATAAAGGTTACGAGAATGTTTGGAAAAGCCTTTTCTGTTGAGAACTGGGTGTGACTGACGGATCAATTATAATCTGTTCCATGCTAGTAGTAATGTCCCCCAGGGGGCTTATGTGCCAGCTGGGGACCCCTAAGCGGATTCTTCTGGAATGGGAAGTGGGCAATAAAGCATCTTGTGCTCTCCCAGCTGGGCCAAGCTCTAGGTAGCTTTGCTTTCCATGCAGGTGCATCTCTGGCCCACTGAGTAAACAAGGGAAGTTTGTATTTATAATACTCTTTTTTCTTATAAGAACCCTAAGCATTCAGAGATGCCTCTGGAATGGGGAAGTAGCACCAGGCATAATCATAGGTAGCTTTTTGTTGAAGATAGAGAAACATTTAACATTACTCTAGAACATTAGAGCAACATGTAGGCATACTCTCGGGTATTTGGAGTTTTTTTTTTTTTTTTTTGTCGGCCATGGGGCTTGAACTCTGGGCCTGGGTGCTGTCCCTCAGCTCTTCAGCTCAAGGCGAGCGCTCTACCACTTGAGCTACAGCGCCACTTCTGGTTTTCTGGTGGTTTATTGGAGATAGGAGTCTCACGGTCTCTCCTGCCCGGGTTGGCTTTGAACCTCGATCCTCAGATCTCAGCCTCCTGAGTAGCTAGGGTTACAGGCGTGAGCCACCAGCGCCCGGCTGTATTTGGAGCTTTTTAGCTCCTCCAATCTTCTCTTGTCTGGGTGCTACTTGCAGATACAGGGTGGTATGTAGTAAGCACCCCCACACACACACCCGCCATGATCTTCATAAATAAATTTGATTAGATTGCTCACAGGATTGAATGTGAGCCTTGTCCCTGACTTTGGCTGGGCATTAACTATCTCTAGGTACACCCAGTCCAACTCCAGGCAGTTCTGATCCTCCTCTGTCTCTTTACAGGTGGGCCCCTTGTTGAACACAATGATCAAAGGGCGATACAACTAGCCTGCCAGGGGTCAAAGCTTCCTGCCAGGTGACTGCTATCCCGTCCACACTGCTTCGTTGATGAGGACAGGAGACTCCAAGCACTAGTATTGCACGCTGCACTTCAATGGACTGGACTCTTGCCATGACCCTGGAGGCAGGTGTTTGGGGCAAGGCAAGGGTAGCTGGTACTCCAATCCTATTTTGAAAGACTTCTCACCCTTGCCTCTTGTGCCCCAACACTTTCCTTCTCTGCCTCCCGAAAGTCCTGCATCCAGTGTGTGGAGTCCTAGCTTCTGATTGTCATTATGTCCCTCTGTGTTAGTCTGTCAACCTTGGGTTATATGAGTGTATGCATGTGTGCATATGTGTGCACACATACATGCAGGTATGTAGTTGATCTTTGTTCCCTCCTCCTGGGTCAGGATGTCACTTCTGGCTCTTAGACCTATCTCCTGTAGCCTCAGTGCCTCAGCCTGAGAGAGAGGATATGCTCCTACACTCCCACTGCTTCTGGACTGCAGAGCCAAAGCAGTTTGTCCATTAGGTCAGTCTGCTCCAGCCAGTTTTTACATTCAGACTGCAGGCCAGATAGGAATGGCTGTTGAGACTCTACTGGGGAGATGAAAGGGAGGTTTACCTTTGGGAGCCTAGATAGCTATCTAGTGGAAGAGGACTGGACAGGATTCCAGCTGGGACCTACACTCTTAAGCCATACATTGAAAGGAACCTTGGGACATAAGAACTAAGAATTGTGCTTATGTTCTAAGTTGTGGACACATACAGCTTTTCTTTTCTAGCACCAGCTCTTGCCCCTGTACTATCAAGAGAGTTAGCATGGCTAGGGATGTTAACCTCTTTGTGCACACATGCACGTGTGCACTCATTTGCACATGTGTATGTGTGGGTGTGTCCAAACTAGCCAGCTTCCTGCTTACCAAGGTTCTTCACTTGCTTACCTTGTCCAGTGTGACAATACGGTTTGAGTCCCTGGATACTACAGCTTTTTAACTCAGATTTTAGCTATTCTGTATTAGTCAGGTCTCATTGCAACCTGCCTAAGGCTGACAGGCAGTAGCCTCCAGATCTTATCCCTCTTGTCCAGGCCATGTCTCCTACTGCTGCTGAGCTTTTTGGCTGAGTAGATCAAATGGGGTCAAGCTTAGGCAGCTAACTCACTACCTTTTATCCCCCATGGGGCAAGGGCAGAAACACATCTTTGCCTATTAAAGCCAGCGCCTCTGCCAGACCCCACTGTGATGTTCTTCTACACCCTCAAAAGGGTAACTGGTAGAACATGAAAGGAGAGTTTCCTTTTCTGTTAGTAACTACTCATGGGAACCCTTCTCAGGGCTGCATCTTACAGCTGGGCAGCTAAGTATTGCACAACTCAGAGGGCCATCATTCACATCTATTCAGTGGGGTATTTGGGGCCCCCAGGAAGAGAGGCGGCCCTTTGTCTATTAACTTCCAATCCGTTCTCCATCATCCATTGGAAGTCCCTCCAAAGGTTTACTTCTGAACTGTGGCTCTCACGTGTGAAGTTCCATTTACAGTGCCCTGATGGACTGAAAAGATGCATGTGTATGTGTGTGAGCACCTGTGTGTGTATTTGGGGTATGTGTGTTCATTTTAGTGCCCCATTCTGGGGTTCTCTGATATAGTATGGATTTACAAACCCAGTACCTTCTCAAGTATAGCTGTTTAAAATACAGCCAATGCTGGGAAATGTGATTACAGTGAACTCCATGCCTCCATTTCTTTCAGGAAAGAGGAGTGCCACAAAGAGCAGGGCAGATGAAAGATAAACTTGGCCACGGTCACATTGGAAAGCTAGATTATCTTTGTTCTCAACAAGTGTGCTGCCTTTCTGCTCAACTCTCAGAATTGTAGGTGATACACAACAGGGTGCTATGGATTGGTCTTTACAAAGAAGAATGCTGACAGGCTTGCTGTAAGGTGGCTGAGGGGAGGAAGAAGGAAAGAAGGCTGAGACCTTCACAGCGTCAGTCCTAATCCTTAGATAATACAGCAGCAATTCCTGATTTTTAGATACATAATATGTGCCTAGTGCTTTTATCTCTCTTCCTTACTGTCATGCAAGGTAGGTTTCCCACTTCACCAATGAAGAAATAAGCTCAAAGAGATTTAGTGATTAGTAGCAACCAAGTGATATTTGCAACACCTCATCCTCCTTTTCCACCAAACTCCCCATCTTCCCTTGATTCCTTGTTCTCAGGCTTCAGTCAGTGTCTGCAGGTGAGCTAAGACTAAGGGTACAGGAAGTCCTTCTGCGCTCCACTAAAGACACCTGGTAAAACTGCCTGAGAAACCATATAACAAGCTAAGCGTGCTGGGGACCATTGTGTGGGATGAAATTCCAGGTCCCTGTGCTTTGCTGACAACATCCAGGAGCTCCTCCTAGCAGATCTCTGCATCAGAGTTAAAATTCCAGTTCTAGATGTAAGAGCTTTGGTTTACATTCTGTTGGGTCACTTACCCCAGGGAAGAGATGGAAGTGCTCCACCTACCTGGAGTTAGGGTGGTTGCGGCTCAAATTGTGCTTGCAGCGGAGGAAATGTTGCTGTAACTCTTACCCCATGTCCCATTCATTACCCCATCCAAGCTAGCGATATGGCAGTCAGATGTGACTTGGACCTGTCTTCAGGTCAGCCATATTGCAAGCTCCTATTTCCACATCAGGTACAATATAAACTACTGTTTTGTGAAATCAAATATTTGTTGGGGTGGGGTGGGTGTTGGAATTCTGGAGGAGGAGGGGCTGTTCTGGGCATCCGTTGAGCAGATGCCCAAGATGCCTGGGGGAGACCAGCTTCCCCTACAAATCAGAGCTCTAAATTACAAGGTTTTTACCAACGCGAACAGTTGGGGGAAGTCGTCTGCTCTCATTTGCGTAATGGTTTCTGTCACTGGTGATTAGACACAGGATGAAGGAAAAGAAATTTGACAATTAGGAATGAGCGATCATTAATCTGAATCTGTTAGGAGACAGAAAGGGGAATGATCCTTCCAATGGGCCAGCCCAGTATGGGAAGACATCCCTCCCTCCATCCCCCAGAGACTCTTGGTTCAAATATTCTTTTCTGGTTTCCACAAGTGGGTGGAGCTTGTATTTCTTCAAGGCAGCCTGAAGTGGATACAGAAACAGACTTCTTTGGGAAAGAGCCAACAAAGATGGGTGTCAAACACAAGCTTTAGGGCATAGGTAATAATAGAGTAGTTTTTCCATGTGTTTACTGTTTGTGGGAAAGTGTTTTCTGCTAGTCAACACTGATGATTCCCCACCTGTGACAAGTATTTGTCAGCTTCCAGCACTACAGAGTTAAGAGAAAAGCCTGTGGGTTTTTTTTGTTTGTTTGTTTGTTTTTAAATTAAACCAAACTCCAGGAGCTTCTGCTTGGAGAAGAACCCCGGTGGGAAACTGGTCACTGCTTCTGTGTATGTTGTTGATACCCTTTGTAGACAGTTAGGGACTTGATTTAGAGAGGAGGAAGATGATAGCGCAACGCTTTCTCCAGAGAAGGACTCATCCTGCAGCCTCCCAGCAACATTGATTTCCCATCAATTCCCATCAGTGCTATCATGACTATGGAGGGTACTGGGTCTTCTGGTCACAGGTTGTGAGCCTATGATGAGGTTAATTAACAGACTGAGTCTTAACATAGAGAAAACCCACGTCTCCTGAGTTCTCATCTCTGATCCTTCAAACTTCAAAGTCGGTATTTGCACTAAGTGGTATTCCTCAGTTTTATGGTTTGTATATGCTTTTGTGGTTTGTAGTATGCTTAAATCATAGAATCATTCAAGGATGAGAGTGAGGGTTCTCTTTCATATCGACTCCCTAAGAATAGGCCTCTCACATTGTTAAATTCCCTACCTCTGGGTCTCCACCCATCAAAATCTGGTGCAGAATTTAGCAAGGGCTACAGGCAGTGACCACTCATGCCTGGATGGGGTGGTGCAACATGTGCATGCAAATAGCGTGGGGAACCAGAGGCCCTGGCCTTTTTCAGTCCATGACCTCTTTGGGACCTCCAGCTGCTTATCCTCTAGTCTCTGCCTACTTCTCTCGATGTCTTTTCAAACTGCCTGCTCTAAAGGGATGCTTCAACTTCCCTTTCCAGAACTTTCTCCTGCCAGGCTCTCCAGTGGCCCCTTCACCAAAACCCTTTTCCCCGAAGCTCTGGCCTCAAATGTTTGGGTAGATTGGTTTTAGGACCCTTCTCTCTGGGTTCTCTCTGGGGCTTGGCTGGGGAACAAAGGCTCAGAAACTGTCAGCGTTGGGGCTCATGAACCAATGACTAGTGAGGTCTCAGATGAGACCTGGTGGTGGGGAGGAGGTAGCAGTTGGTCAGGAAACTAAGAATGGAGCAGCACTACATAAGCCAAGGTGGAAGAACTGAACTTTGCGTTGCCATCTAAATGTGTCTGTGTGCCTTTAGGGCTCAGCAGTTCAGGGATGGTCAGGGGACATTTTATGAATGTCCTAATTTATCTCAGGTCTTTGGCTCAGTGTCAGCAAGTTTGACCTCTGCAAGTGGTTGCTGGAAGGGAAACTGTTTTAAGTGTCGTGTCAGGAGTAGAGGTCTCAGGTGAGAATGATCGGAGAACAGGAGAATGAGATTCCATGGCCAGCTTTTTCCAAGACTGTTCTCCATTCAAGAGTTTTCGAATACAAAAGCTGATTCAAAAAGTTAATTGCCCCTCCCCACCTAAAATTTGTTTTCATGTTTCTGAAAAAGTATGCTTAAAAAAAAAGTAGTTGTACAAAGGCAGTGTGTTCTTTAACTTTCAAGAAGAAACAATCTGGCAATAGAGTTTGAAAGCATGGGTTTTGGAGTCAGATACCCTAAATTCAGATTTCTAAGCTTTGCTGCTTATCACCTGGATTTGAACTCTGCTGATTTGCTTAATCTCTCTGAGCCTCAATTTCCTTAACTATGATATGTGGGGGTGGGTACCGGGATTTTGAAAATATCTACCTCAGGGTTGTTGGATTAACTAAAATAATGTCTGTAAAGCTTTAGCACAGTGCCTGGCAAAGCACTTATTAATAAATGGTTGTGATGGTGGTTATATTCATTATGTGGCTTACTCAAAGGTTTGGTTTTACTGATGCTTAAACAGATCTAAGTAATTCTTTTTCTCAAGGAAATTATAGAAAAGAAAAGGAAAAATACCCCTAAAGCTATCCATATAAGTTGGGGGCAGACTGGAGTCTTGATACCTAAACCCGTTCTAGGCAAATGGCTGATGTGTCTTCTGCTTGGTGAGCCAAATACCTGCTGTACATAGCAGTGGGAGCTGAGTGGTTCCCCATTCCAGCTGTTGAAGCTGATGCCTCTCACCCTAAAGCACTGCTCAGCTCCTGAGCAGGGCTCCTCATGGTATCAGTCCCCGTCTGCAACCTCTGACTCACAAGCACCTCATTGCACTGCCATCGTTAGAGAGCTTCTCAGATTCCTTTGAGAGAGATTCTGTTGCAGTCAAATCAAGCCTCTGCTTTAATTTGTTTACCTGTTAATGTGTCTAAATTACAAGTTAAGGTCGTTGTAGGGCAGAACATTAGAATCCAGGAAAAAAAATGTATGAGTGGAATATTAGCTATCATTTGTTTCCACTTCTGTCCCAAGCACTTTGCTAGTCCTTACCTCTGGGCATTCAGTTCAGTGAGGGAGGTAGCTGGAGTCGAGGGCTCATGAAGGAGAAGCAGCTGAGTCATTCAGATACTTACAGAGGGTAGGTTTTCTGCGGGAACTATAGTCAAGAGTTGGTGTCTAGAAGAGGAGTAGCTACCCAGAGATTAGGGGTACCTGATCTGAAGACAAAGATTGCTCCCATGTGTTTAAAGAGTTTGCTGTGAATCACTCCAAGGAAAGAGCCAGATAGGATATATCCCCCCAAAAGCCAAGAAAACTAACTAAACTTGCTTGGGTCTACATCTGCATAGAGGACATGCTCACTTCCACTCTTTTTATCCTCTGAATGGGATCTTATTTGGAAGAGTAGTTGAATCAGGTTCTCACATTCCAGCCTGAGATATATTCTGGCTGGGTGGGATTCTCTGCACCTTCTTCAGTGCATTCCCACTGACCCGTTTATCTCCACGTAAGCCAGGGCTCTGCGACTCAAGGCAAGATGTTGCCTTAGACTCTGGCACTAGCCCCCTTGGGAAGACACCTTGTGCCAAGCCATCCCTCTAGGCTGCAGGCCACTTGGAGTCACCTTGCAGTCACCTCTTTCTAGATAACTGGCTCTGGGACTTGGCTGCCTTCTCTTTGTCCTTAGCCAATTTTTCTGTTTTATTCCATTTGCTTAAGACCTACTCATTTGATCACTGAGGTCAATTCTGTTTTTCAGTGAAGCTGTGCTTCTTAAGCCAAAATATAAGGTATGTCTGGGCCAGGTTTCCATTCCTTCTTGACTATGTAGTGTGTACGGGAGAGGTTGAGAACGAAGCCTTTCCATACTGAGTCTGCCATACGCATGACCTGGGCAGAATGACAAACTGCCTGAAACTCAGTGTTCAATATCTGTGAGAATAACTACCTTCCTTCTTCAGGGGCAGCAGTCTTTAGCATCCAGAGGCCTCGTCAGCTTCTGTCTTTACCTCTAAGCTCCACAGCAGAGCACAGGTAAGAGCACCCATTCCTGTCATGGTACCAGCCCCTCCCTCCTGTGAGATACCCTCTCACCATTGCTATCACTGGGGAATGAAATTTTAATTTAAATTTACTACAATATTAAAAAAAATACATGAAATGCTGAAAATAAGACATCAACATCAAACCTGCTCCTTTTCCCCTCTTCCTGCCAGGGCTGGCAAGAAGGCACAGTAAGATTTGTTTAGCTAGCATTGGCAATCATAGGCAGGAAGAAGAAGCTAGAATATGTGCAGAGAGCACAGTGGTATGGGATACAGGAGACAGATTACCCGGGCTGCCAAAAGGAAAAAAAGGTTTTAGGAGGGACTGGAAATCCATGAAGGGCAGAGATGGCTCTACTAGAGCAGAATCTTGAGAAACAGATCTAGGTTCTTTACCATCCTTTTTTTAAATTTTGCCAGTTCTGAGGCTTGAACTCTGGGCCTGGGCACTGACCTTGAGCTTCATTTAGCTGAAAGTAATACTCTACCACTTGAGCCACAGCACCACTTCTGGCTTTTTCTGTGTATGTGGTACTGAGGAATCTAACCCAGAGCTTCATGCATGCAAGGCATGCACTCTATCACTAAGCTACATTCCCAGCCCCGAGATCTAGGTTCTGAGTTGCTGTCTTACCCCAGTGTAAAGGGGCTGGGATGGTGTGTGTGTGTGCGTGTGCGTGTGGGTACGCGCGCATGCGCATAGGACATAGCTGCTAAATGAAAGAAGCACAGGCTCAAGGGTATTGAGCCTAAGTATGGAACTTCATGCACTTTGGGTAAGTATGTTAGTCTCATTGAACTCTAGTCTCATCTAAAGTTGGTTAATGATATTGCTACTTTTATTGAGTTGGTAGATAATATATGTGAAAGCGCTCTTTAAACCAAGCATGGTATAAATACTGGATTGTTATTGGGAGTAGAGGTTTTGGAACACTTTCACTCAGAATTTCAGAAATTTCCAGATTAGAGCTTGTCACAGACCTAGTCAGAACTCAGTAAAGGAGCAGCTTTTCAGTTAAAACACTGCCAGCATTTGACTAGCAAAACTTAAAGTAAATGTGGGTGGTAAGCAAGAGAGTGAGTTTCAGAGTGATACAGGACTAGGTTTGAATCTTGATTTTGCCTTTTCCTAACTATAAGAATGTCATATTACTTGGTGTCTTTGAGCTTGGAATTCTTTTTTTTTTTGGTCTGGTCGTGAGGCCTGAACTCTGGGCCTGGGCACTGTCCCTCAGCTCAAGGCTAGTGCTCTACCACTTGAGCCACAGTGCCACTTCCAGCTTTTTTTTTTCTGCTTATGTGGTGCTGAGGAATCGAACCCAGGGCCCCATGCATGCAAGGCAAGCGCTCTACCACTGAGCCACCTACCCAGCCCCGAGCTTGGAATTCTTAACAGGTCCCTTCATGTGGCTATTGGGAATGAATGCGACAATTCAGTTGAAACAATTAACTCAGTTCCTGGTGTCCATTAAGTGCTCAATAAAAGTTCCTTTTCTTTCATTTCTTTTCTCCTTAGGAAGCATCCAGTTTACCTGGTGGAAAAGGGAGGATTCAGTTGCCCATGTCTTAGTGCAAACAATGCCAGATTTCCTTTTCTTTCTAGGGTAAGACTAGTGGTCCCAAGAGAATCTGTCTGAATGGAAAAGAATCATGGAATGGGGTAGGGCTCTACAATATTGGACACAGGGTGGCTTCTCTGGTTATCTAGTCAGTGTAGAGGTGGGGTGCAGAGGGTAAAGCCAAAAGGTGAATCTTAAGAAAGGGGATGAGTGCCATCG